ATCAAGCCGCACAATATCCTGGTTGCAAAATGCTGCTAACCTCAGCATGCTATGAGGGTCAGTCCAACATGGTAATACTGTGGCTTTAATTGCCCCTGGATTTGGGAATGTTCCCTGGATTTGGGAATGTGTTTGAATAACCCGGCTATCCACAAACTCTCAGTGACCACAATCCTGACAGACTGCCAGTACTGTCATCTCTATTCTACTGTAAATGTTAATATGTCTCTTATTTATTTATCACAAGTGATAAATGAATCTCCAAATATGTTTCTTTACTTATAACATTTAGTTTAATTAATTTATCCAATTGGGTTTATTTTCTTGAAGTTAATGGTTTGGTTTTTATCCAGGCCTTGTATGTGTTATTTTAAATTTCCTACTTGTATAATTAAGTGTAACTGACTCTGAGTGGTTCATTTCTGGCACGATGAATAAGGAGGCCACAGCCCAGGAGAATCTAAATAGGGTAGAGGACCAAATGGGCTCTGAAAATGCAGATGAACAAATCTCAAAATGCAGTGATGCAGGTAAATGCAGCCAAGAAAAAACATGGAGACTAAACACTGAGGTTCATTTTAAAGGGTTCGTTTCAATTGAAAAGTCAAGAAGTTATGTTAATCTTGTATAGAACCTTGGTCAGATCACACTTGGAGGATTGTAATTGTTTAAAAGGGCCTGATTTCACATAATGCTGTACAACAATACTCTATACTGTACACAACAACTCAATGCAAACAGCCTCCATAAGGAAACCGATGAAGGTATAGTTCACAAGGATGTTTACCAGACCCAAGGGATTATAACCATCAAGTGGGATAGAGACGGTTATAGCTCATATCCTTCACTTACACTGGACAGACGTGATGATAATTAGGAAGAAGAGGATGTAAAGAGTTCAACCTCTTTGCTTCTCATTTTTACCAAACCAGCAATAATCTCTCATCCTTTGTTTGTGGTTTTATTTTTTTCACATTCTAGCCCCGAGCAAAGCTGTATAAAACCCCTGCAGCAGATTTTTTAATATGCTCTTGATAACCTACACTATTACTTATATGGATTTGTGTATCTGTCTGTAAAAGCCTCTTTCACAGCCAATCAACTCCATTTACAAACTTACTTTCCAAAACATAAGGGGAGGCTTGTTTAGAGTCAAGGAAGAAGGCAAAGGAGGGGTGTTGGTGGGTGAAGGGGTTGATTTGGTTAATTGAAAGGGAGGGTGTAGTGTAGAAATTGAGGGGTTATGAGAGGTGGAGATAGGGAGCTATGGGCCACAGGTAAGCACATTCATCTTGATAATACACTTGAATAAGAGTTGACCAACATGTGGGGAGAAAGTGTAGGGTCATGTTGAAGTTATGGTATTTGACCAGTACCAATAGTTCTAGGTATTAAGATAATAACATAAAAGAGATCATTTCACTCATTGAGCCCATGTCAGTTTAAGCCAACAATTCAAATTACTCTATAGTAAACTGTGACAGTGAATTTAATATATTTGTGATTTGTAGACTGCCTGGCCTGCAAAACCACAATGGTCATGGATGCATCACCTGGTTTACTAATGTTCTTCAGGGAAAGGGATCTACTGAATTTACCTGATCTTGCCTACATGTGATTCTAGTCGTACATGTATATTGTTGAATCCTAATGCCTTCAGGACAATTAGGGACTGGCAATAATAAAGTGCTGTCTATGAGAACCACAGCCACAAAATAAATAAAGAAAACATCAGGATCAGGATTCTTTGGGTGAATTTTCTTCAATCACAGACTCATTCTGAGGGCAATAGTTTCCTCACAGCTCATTACCATCCCCTAATGCCATCCCTCATCCCAATCCCCTATTCCCATCCCTCGTCCTAATCCCCTATTCCCATCCCTC